GCAACAACAACAGCAACAACAACAGCAACAACAACAGCAACAACAACAGCAACAACAGCAACAACAGCACCAACAGCAGCAGCAGTAGCAACAGCAGCAACAGCAGCAACAGCAACAACAGCAACAGCAACCGCAGCAGCAGCAGCAGCAGCCACCTTGTGAAAGATGAAACACTGAGACTGCATCTGAAAGTCATTTCTCTTCAACGACTTCCCCCATCATAATGGTTATAATGGCATTTAATCTCTCATTGTTTTGTGAAAGGACAAGGCAATCGCCCCTTACCCCCACCCCCATCCCGTCTGAATGATAACGATTAATTTAAAAAAAACAAAAAACAGAAAAACAAAACAATCAAACAAATTGAAAGTAAAAAAAAAAGACTCGCACTTTGCGATACAGAATTATTCTCAAAGGGAAATATTCGCAACAGTGTTGGGTAATTAGCACCGTCAGTAACATAAACTATCCCATTGTTGTTAAGAGACCAAGAGATCTCAAGTACCACATAACCTCTAGGTCAAAACAGGCAAATAATTATATCTGTTATCAAATGATACCATTGTTGAATTTGCATGCGACTGCATTAATGTTCAATTGCCGCAATCCGGCCACTTTGTCCCTGACACATTCAAGTTCTAACCTAATCTTATCGGAGTTCTTACTGGCAGGACTCGGTAACTAAACCACTACGCTACGCTACGGTACTTTGAACTTCCAGGGTATGCGATACGTACGTAGCGTCGAAGAGCCTATTTAATTTATTTTATTAAGGCCCCAGTCCGCAACCTTAGACGAAGCCTCTGAAACGCCTCCGCAGTTCACCTGGACTCTCTTATTCACCCGGCCGCCTGGCCTCATGGAGTTTTTCTTTTTATTCACTATTCACGTTTTTGATCGTAGGTAGAGGCCAGTAAGGCTGCCTTTTGAGACAGGTTTCGGGGTATCCCGTATCAAGCGAGGATACGCATTACTGCGCGCGTCGGAGGAACAATAACACGAACAAGTTGAGAAGGTTTAGCATACACGTTTTATGCCGTTACAGAGGGAAAGGACTGGAACTAAATAAATACAATAGTTGATCTATTCCGTTATATTTAAGGAGACTACACCTTAACTTTTAAAAGTTGTCAACTTGACTTAAACGCAGGAGGTTTGTCCTCATTGTGTTATGGAAGGTTTCTGAAGGGCAGCTAGCTGTGTCTGGTGTTATTATTGTATTGCAAAGACCCCGAAGTGAAAGACTGTTGGTTTTTCTTTTTTTTCTCTTATGGGATATGAAGCGTTTGCGGCCCTCGTTAGCTGGATGGCATTCCGAAAAAAGGTGAGCAAAATAATAGATCTAGATGACAATAATTAATAGGGCTTGTTTCATCTCGATTTCATCTCGATCTTAGCTTTTGAAACTTTCTCCAATCTCAACATTTCTAACCAGCTCTGACAGACCCACGGTCTTAGATCTACGTGTCCAAATATATTAACCAATTTATTTTTTAAAAATTAATGTGAACAACTTCTGTGAAAAAAATATAATATAGATCTAGTTAGGACTACTGATTTAACTGTATATAAGGCTTTGTGAGAAATAGTTTCACAAGTAACAGGACAATTGGTCGCGTTTAAGGACAAGCGGGCTAACTCAAATTTCAGGTTTCCAGAAATCTCTATCTGCGTCAAAAGTGGGCATTGCCATTACTATAGAGGAAGAGAACTTTGGCTTCATTGCTGTGTGTGTATGTGTGTGTGTGTGTGTGTGTGTGTGTGTGTGTGTGTGTGTGTGTGTGTGTGTGTGTGTGTGTGTGTGTGTGTGTTTGGTTA